TAACACGTTATCCGCACAAAAGCTCTTGGTAATGTTCTTCTCTATAGCTTACATTCATCCATATATATATATATATATATTTTTTTTCTTTTATCTACAAAACTCGATGACGGCTGATTTTTTTAAAGTAGAAAACAATCATGGATGCTCTCGTTTTGGGAGAAATGACGAAGATATTTGTCTTGCAGATAGTGCAACTACGCACACAATTCTTCGAGATAAAAAATATTTGGATAATTTACATTTATCAAAAGCAAAGGTAACTATCATACTAAGTTTTGCAAACCTAATTGACGGCTTTGGAAGAGCTCAAATTTTGTTACCTAATGGGACTAAATTCTCCATTGATAATGCTTTGTACTATTTGAGATCGAGAAGAAATTTACTTAGATTTAAAGACATTCGAATGAACGGATACCATATTGAAACTTGAAAGGATCACAATGTGGAGTATCTTTGCATTACCACCAATATCAACAGCCAGAGGCGTATATTGGAAACACTTCCTGTTTTCTCTTATGGGTTGTATTATAGAACCATCAGAGCAGTTGAAGTCCATGCTATCATGAACCAGAAGTTCATTGACCCAACGACTTTCATGCTTTGGCATGATCGTCTTGGGCATCCTGGATCCACAATGATGTGAAGATTATTTCAAATTCAAATGGACATCCTTTAAAGCCTTACCATAGTACTTTGTCCATTGACCAGTCTTGGAAAGCTTGCTCCCAATGGAAATTGATCATCAGACCATCTCCGTCAAAACTTGGCTTTGAATGTCCATCTTTCTTACAGAGAATTCAAGGGGATATTTGTGGGCCAATTCACCCATCTTGTGGACCATTTCGTTATTTTATGGTTTTAATCGATGCATCTACAAGATGGTCACACGTTTGCCTATTGTCAACTCGCAATGTTGCTTTTGCTAGGATCCTTGCTCAGATAATTAAATTACGAGCACAATTCCCTGATTATGCAATAAAGTCAATTCGACTTGTTAACACTGGTGAGTTTACCTCCCAAACTTTTGATGCTTATTGCATGTAACTTGGGATTGATGTTGAGCACCCAGTTCCCCACGTCCATACTCAAAATGGATTAGCAGAAGCTTTTATTAAGCGTCTCCAGTTCATTGCTCGCACTTTGCTATTGAAGACAAAGTTGCCAACTTCTGCTTGGGGACATGCAATTTTACATGCAGCAAATTTAGTCTGCTTGAGGCCCGTTGCCCAACACCAATTCTTCCCTTTACAACTTGCCTTTGGGAGACAACCCAATGTATCACATTTAAAGGTTTTTGGTTGTGTAGTTTATGTGCCAATTGCACCCCCACAACACACTAAAATGGGTCCTCAACATCGATTGGGAATATACATTGGTTTTGATTCACCAACTATCATTCGTTATGTTGAACCTATGACATGAGATACTTTTACAGCATGCTTTGCAGATTGTCACTATGATGAGACATTCTTCTCGCCGTTAGGGAGAGAAAAAACTGTTCCTGAAGAACGGTGTGAATTAGGTTGGAACATATCCATTATGTCTCGTCTTGACCCTCGTACAACTCAAAGTGAAAATGAAGTACGAAAGATTGTCCACTTTCAGCAAATTGCTAATCAAATGCCAGATGTATTCACTGATACAGGAAAAGTGAAAAAATCACATATACCTGCAGCAAATACACCAGAAAGGATGATATCCTAATCGGATTAACCAATGTTGCAGTAAATGAATCATCTACTGCAGGCCTGAAGCGAGGTAGACCCATTGGTTCAAAGGACTCAGCTCCTAGAAAGCGAAAATCGAAAGCATATTCCAACCATAATGAAAACGCTCATGAAGATATTATTGGGAAAGAGATTGACCTTAAACCTACAATTCATCCATAGAGTGAAAGTGTCATTGAAAATACACAAGACACTGAAGAGGAAAAGATGCCTAATACAGAAATTTATGTAAATTTTGCATGTAATGATGAACTGTGGGATCGTAGTGAAATGGTTATCGATGATATTTTTTCTTTCACATTAGCTACTGAAATTATAAAAGGTCATGAAGATATTGAACCACGATATGTTGATGAATGCAAAGAGAGGCCTGATTGGCCAAAGTGGAAAGACACAATCCAAGTTGAGTTAAATTCCTTGGAAAAACGTGGTGTATTCAAACCTGTGGTTCAAACACCGCAAGGTGTAAAACATGTGGGATATAAATGGGTGTTCACAAGAAAGCGTAATGAGAAAAATGAGATTGCAGGGTATAAGGCACGACTCGTTGCGCAAGGCTTTTCTCAAAGGCATGGGATTGATTATGAAGAAACATATTCGCCTGTTATGGATGCAATTACGTTCCGTTATTTAATAAGTCTAGCAGTTTCAGAAAAATTTGACATGCGTGGACGTTGTTACTGCATACTTATATGGGGAGTTAGATGCCAATATTTATATGAAAGTCCTAGAAGGACTCAAGTTGGTAGAATCAAACACTAAATCACGGAACATGTACTTCATTAAGCTGAGACGTTCACTATATGGGTTGAAACAATCCGGACGAATGTGGTATAACCGTCTTAGTGAATATTTGATTAAGGAAGGCTACATCAATAATCCAATATGCCCTTGTGTTTTTATAAAAAATCAAATTTTGGATTTGCAATTAAAACTGCTGAATATTTAAAGTGTGAATTTGAGATGAAAGACCTTGGAAAAACTAAATATTGTTTGGGCTTGTAGATCGAGTATCATCCCAATGGTATTCTTGTCCATCAATCAGCTTACACTGAAATTTTTTTGAAGCGATTTTATATGGATAATTCCCACTCGTTGAGCACTCCAATGGTAGTTCGTCCATTAGACACAAATAAAGATCCATTCCGTCCTAAAGAGGATGATGAAATGATACTTGGTTTAGAAGTACCATATCTTAGTGCGATAGGTGTTTTATTATATTTAGCCCAATGTACTAGGACATATATTGCATTTTCAGTAAATTTATTAGCCAGGTATAGCTCAGCTCCAACACGTAGACACTGGAATGGTATAAAACAAATCTTGCGCTACCTTCACGGAACAACTGATATGGGCCTGTTTTAGTCAAACGAACCTTCTAACGGTCCAAATCTTGTTGGATACGCAGATTCTGGGTATCTCTTTGATCCACATAAGGGTTGCTCCCAAACTAGTTATGTGTTTACTTGTGAAAACACAGTGATCTCATGGTGCAAAACAAACTATGGTTGCTACCTCTTCTAATCATGTAGAAATTCTTGCGCTCCATGAGGCCAGTAGAGAATGTGTTTAAGATTCCTAGTTCATCATATTCGAAAAACATGTGATCTTTCTTCAACAACAAAAGCTCGGGTAATCATGTATGAAGACAATGCTACTTGTATAGTTCAAATTAAAGAAGGGTTTATCAAGGGTGATAGAACCAAACATATACCACCAAAGTTCTTCTATCCACATGAGCTTCAGAAGAATCAAGAGATTGAAGTCAAGCAAATTCGTTCCCAAGATAAGTTGGCAGACCTCTTCACCAAAGCTCTTCCAAAGTCTATATTTCAGAAGTTGGTATATGGTATAAGGATGCGACGACTTTACAAGCAATAAGAATGTTAAAGATCAGGGGGAGATATCAATCAAGGAGACTCCTCAGTTTTACTACATCAGATGTATGTGCAATGTACTTTTTTTTTTTTCCTTCGATCATGTTTTTATCCCATGTGGTTTTTCATGACAAGGTTTTTAACAAGGCAACATTTAGCATGTCCAACATGATGTCATTGTATGGTAGACATCCAATGGGGAGTGTTATAAATCCATACGTTATGGGTTTATAGGTTATGGATGCCCACAATAATAGCCACTATTAACCTATCATAATACCCATCATTATATACTTGTAACCTACCAATTATGGTTGGTAAATGATTTAGGCCTCTCTACCCCTATAAATAGTGGATCCGAATATGAATGGAATACAAGTTGATTTGAGCAAATTATACTGCCTCTTTCTTCCTCTTATCTCTCCTTACAAATTCCCTAGTTTCATA